AACATAACTCCGATTATAAATTAATCGGCGATTGATTCAACTGGCAGAACGGCTCGAAGCAAAATTTCTAATTATAAATCGTTGCCCCCGATCTAATAATCCATTCTTTCCACGTGCCAAAGATTAAACGAACGTTATAACAGTTCTATCCACGTTAACGCGATAATAAAGGATAACTCGACGAATTAGTCGAAAGTTAGTCAAATTTTCATCGCCCTTACGAATCCAATTTCTGTCTAAAACCGGGAGGGAGCGGAGAGGAACGCCGTTTCCCCAAGGCGCGTCGAAACGGAACATCGTGTTACAGTGCGGGACACGTGATGGGACGTGTTCGTAATTAAAAATCGAGTTATCTCGCGAAATTTAATTGTCCCGAAATATCCTTCCTGGGAGCGGGGGGTGGGGGGAAAGTCGGATTGGCCGGCGGGCGAACGTAAAAACCCCCCTCGCGTGATCCGCGCCTGGAGCGAGCGCCGCTTATGCGCGGTGCCCCGCGTAAATCGATGCGCGCCGCGGCTTTTCTTCAGCAATCAGCTTCAGCAGGCAGCACTTCAGCCAGCAGTTCGGCCAGCCAGCCAGTCCGCGCGATACGTGTGTGCGCCGGTCAGCTTTGCTGATCCGTACGTGCATCTTGCCCTGGCCTCGCGTCCGCTGTGCGCTCTCCCCGGAGACGTCTCGTCCCGTCGCGTCTTCCAGGAGCTAGGTCGCGCACTCGCTTCGCTCTCGCGTCGACCAGCCGGACGCGCGTCATCGCTCAGGTAGGCCCGCGATACGTCGGAAGGGCAGAGGCCGACGGTCCCCCGCACTGGGGGATCAGGTGGCTCCGTTTGCGTCGTCGTCGGGGCAACGAGTCTTATTAGTTCGGGGATTGAGACCGGCGGCGTTTCAGCTCGGACACGCGAGAAACGATAGATCATCCCGATCAAGCACCGGCACCAGGGTTTCTCTATTTTTTTCTATTTTCGAAAAAGGACGGTAGGAGAGCGCGAAAAGTGTGGCTTATTAAAAACCGGGAACGTTTCTCGCGCGTCCGCAGCGAGGAGTTTGAATTCCCAGATCGCGGTTCGGAGCAGCTCGACGCCGTGGGCCCGCGAGGGTCGCGGCGCCCGGACTCCCGGGGAGATCGCTCGAATCTCGGGAGAAGTCTCTCGGGGACTGAAAACGCGCCGGTATCAATCTCTCCGTCTAACTCAGCGCGGTTTTGTTTCTCGTGCAGGGAGAGAGAGAGTGTGCCATGAAGGCTCGTCGCCGTCGCCGTCGCGAGGAATGACTCGCCGCTAGGAAGTCGTAGGGGTAACGGTGTGCGGTGCCCGCCGATGTCGCCAGCGGTGGCTACCAGCCTCGTCGTCGCTGAGGCCAGCAACAGCAACGGCAGCAGCAGCAGCAGCAGGGATTCTCGGGGATACGCCAGGGTGCCGTCGCCTCACTGATCGCGCGCGAGAATAATGAGAATCAACGCGACGAAGATGAGCACTCCGATCGAGGAGAAGATTGACCAGAAGCTGAAGGTATACAGGCTTACCTCGAGGGTCGGAAGCGCCAGGATTGAGCCGCGATATCCTTCTCCAACCCTTTATCTCTCTCTCCCTCTCCCCCTTTCTCATACATTCTCTCTCTCTCTCTCATTCTCTGTCTCCGTCTTGTTGTCCGTCGATCTTCGGTGATCAATAATGCATCCACGCTCGTACTCGCACTTAGCCGCATGCTTGGGATGCAGCACGCGTGCATAATCCCGATCGGGGAAGCGTCTCGGGGAAGCGCCGCGCGCTATGCGGCGCAGATGTGCGCCGGATATATTCCTGGATATATATATGCCCTCCTCTCCCCGGCCCGTGTGTGTATTCGGCGTATCGAACACCTCCGGCGAAATGAATCGAAGCCGCCTTAACTCCGAATTAAACTCGGCAACTACTCCCGTAGGATCGGGTCAAGATCCTTCGATCGATAGCGCTCGCAGCAGGAGTGTCCGTCTAATCTCTATTATTTCGCCTCTTATTCCCTCGATGTTAAGATACAACTCGACGTTGTTGTTTTTTCAACATTAATTTCTACGTATTATCCAGGGAGTCCCTGGTATTATCTCTTTAGCGTAATATGATTATTAATCTTAATGACATCATTATTAATTTTTACTGCCTTATATATTCGTGTTACGTTTCAACTCGATAGAATCTGTGACACTAGTTGTAACACACAGGAGTGTTAATATCATTTTATCGCTCGCTTCTGATCTCACCCGTTTTGTGTGTTTTCAGTTATACGTTTACCCACGTTTTCACTCAACGTTAATGTACATCGCAGTCACGGACGGCGTTTACCGCTAGGTGCGAGATACGCGAACGGGGCCTGGGTGTTTTTTTACGTATGATAAAAGCGGATGAAAGGTCAAAAGAGCCGTGTATGCGAGCGTGGTGTAATTTAGTCGGGGATCGCGTTGCACGTAATTCGCGACGGTCTCATTACCCACGTCCTCTCTACGCTCTTACACGGGTAAATACTGATGAGGCAATACCATCGGAATTTCCCATAATTAGGAGGACGCATTTGAACCTGTCGATCGTTCGCGCAGCGATAATTTGAACGCCGAGAAGCCAGCTTATTAATTTGCGCGTTTTCTAAAACAAGGAGAAATAAATTAAATTTTAAAAACGAATTTTCTTTCATTTTATGAATAACTATAATTATCTCGCTCTATGTGCGCGTAAAATTCCCATTTGTCTCCCCGTAATTCGAGGGGCAAGTAAATGAATGGATTTTAACATTTCATCATGTTTTTAGACGTTAATCGGATTAAGAGAATGCGGCCACGCACACGGCCGAGAGTCACTTCGGACTTGGAATTTTGTGGACTGGTGGCCTTCGTCGTTCGACCGTATCTCGCACTCTCGTTCCCAGTTATACCGGATGAAATTCCCGGCGCTACAAGTGCACGAAATGTTTTCCGATCGCACGACATTAACGTCGTTAATCTCCCGTGAACGACCGACGTTTCGCCGATCGCCGGGAAATAGCGAGGAGGAGTTTCGCCGCGTCTCTACGGTCTCTTCCGTGGAATGAATTGTGGCTTCACTAATTTCCTTCTAAATTGTAGCAGCTACAGTATAGATGTAGATAGACTATTAGGATCAACGCTGATCGATATTGGTAGAGAATCGACCCGCGGGTTTTCATAAACGTTGGTTAAAGATAACTGGAGTTTAAGCGACTCCACGTTCCCCTTTCTAAATATGTATAACCGGCGAGAGCCGGGAGAATCGGTTAAATCTTTGCTATAACTTTAACGAACGCTCGTTAGACCAGAAAACGGCCCCTGCAGCAGTCGAAATTGGCTCTCCGGACGCTTTAATACCGCCGGATTCTACATGCCGGGTTTTATACGGTCTGGGATAAACGTCGAATATAGCGCTTAATTGATGTCTTCGCAGAAAACGGAGCCTTATCATTTCGCTTTGATAAACGCTCCCGCATACTCCAAATTGGCAGTTCGGTGTCTGCCGTCGTCCGACACAACTTCGCGGAAGAGATCGATATAGCCCTCCGTGATAGCCGCGGCACTAGTAATGTTTAATTACTTTTGCGATAATAACGAGCGATTTCATATATCGTACGTCTGGATTATAAATTGATACGTTCGGTGATACTGCGGTGATGTCGCGTTGCGTCGCGTCGCGGAGAGTTCGTTTTTATCTCCTCGCGGGCACGCCGCGATTTTGTCACTCGGCCGGTTTTACCCGAGAGCGACAATAGTTTGTCACGTCGCAACAAAGTTCTCATCCTGTAAACGAGTGTTTCACCGTGCGAAAAAAAAAAGAGAAGAATACGAACGGCACGCGAACGTCGATCATTTTCACGCTGCGCTTTTCGGCCATCGATTATTATTACGGAAAAACCTGCCGTAACGAGAGAAATGTAAAACCCGATAATCGTCGCAGCGATATGAATTTACGGGAAAATGATAGAAAGTATAGAGCGAAAAATGTGTAGTTTCCATCGCGAGATTGGAGTCGAACTTTCCTTTCGTCGTTAATTTTGTATAAAATGCAAAATTAACGCAATTACGAGCGACATGTACGTAATACAATTCGCGACGAGAGAATATTGCAATAAGACTGAAAAAGCATCGACGACGCTCTTATTCGACCGGTTATTTAAAACGTGCGTTCAAAATGTATAGGGTAGGATAAGTTTGTAAAGCTTTTTTAAAAGCGGATGCTTTAAAAATATGTACGTATACTCGTTTTATATTTAGAGGGTTTGTACTAGGAGTTTATAATAGAAAAATATGTTTCGCGGATTTCACGGAAATTTATCTCTATTTGGCGACACGTCACCGATTCGTATTTACACACCTCGCTTGCAGCGTTTCCGATGATAATTAATTATCGTCGGATTAATTGGAACGGACGAATTGTTAACGATAAATGACGAATGCGCTGCGAGGTAGTTTTAAAAATATAGTGTGTATAATTGGGGTAAAATGGGTCCGTCCCGTTTTGTCGATTTAACGACCCGAAAATCTCTCTCTCTCTCGTTTGTCGGGCAACGTTTTCCGATTGTCACTTAATATACATACGTGCCACGCCGAATCGACGAATTTAACGTCTTCTCGGGGACATTCGGGGCCAATCTGGTATAATTTTCTTTGACACAAGCGAAATCGATCCGCTCGCCGGCTCGCCGTAAACACAAAAGCGTAGATTTCAGTTTGCTCTTTTCGCTGATATATATACCTTCGAAATCAGTTTTTTATATGCATGGCATATTAAATTCCCGTGAAATGAATTTGCGTAAAATGAACCGCCCACCGATATAGCACGCTTTGTATACCCTTTTTCCTTCGCGCTCCAATTTTCATTCAAAATGCAACACGTCGATCTATGCATAATAATTATTATAAAAATACGTAAAAAAGAAATTGGCAATTTTCGCGGACAAAACTGTCCTCTCCAGCGACGTTCTCTCGCGGAGGGAATTCGATTCCAGGAGTTGGTCAAGGAGCTCGTTAATGAAGAATGGCTCGCTGAAATCCTGTCAATTTACGATACCTCCGCGAAAGCGCATAGTCCTTCCTTAATCATTTAGCTATTCTTTCCTGCCCATCACTTACAACTGTCATCGTCGGAGAAAAGAGTATGCGACGCGGAATTGGATCGCGGGCGAATAATTTAGACACTGCCTTCGTTTGCGTATCGAGAAAAGGAAAATCGATTAATTGAGCGAAGACATAAGCGGAGTCGTCGTTACGCGGAGGAAATCCTAGGTGGATGTTTGCAAATCGCGCGAGGACGGAGGCGCGGTTGGCTCTCGAGCCGCATGGCAAATTGACACAAATATGAATTAATTTTAACCGATCCGTTGCGGTCTCGCGGGTTAAGCTGCAGAGCGAGCGAGGGAGAGGATGAATCCGTGTCGGTTCCGCCGGGCAACGAACGGGAAATAACATAATAACGATAATGCCGTTTGGAGTAATTAGGGACGATCGTTGCCCGATGAATGTGGATATTTAATTAAGAATTTATATCGGAAATACTTTCCCATGCATAAATGCATGCTCGGCCGATACAATGACTTCGCATCAATCGCTTTAATCAATCAATATTTGCCGGTGCTCGTTAGTTATCGTTATCGGCGTAACGGCAGCGTCTTTCTTCCCTTTAATCTTCGAGCTACTTCCGCACCGAGTGGCATCTCTCGCTTCTCAGAACTCTAAAATAACTTTTGCAATCCCGCGGGGTCCTCGCTTTTTTTCCCCACTTCAATTTCCGGTTGCAAATGCAAGCCCGCTTTTTGTGCCGAGTTATAATGAGGAAAATGGTATCGCAGTTATTATGTTATTTTTACATATAAAAGTCATTACGACAATATATATATATAATACTTTTAAGAAACTGTGATAAGCTAAACCAATTAGTTTGCTAAAAATAATTGGTTACAATTTAATAAAGCTGTTCCACATCTTCAATCTCCGTTTAGATATAGGTGCATAGTTTTCCTCTGACATTTCGAGCGAATAAAATGGCAATTTTATATGAATATAGCTTCTGTAAATTTGATTTTATTATCGGTAGGTGCGGACGGGGATGGTGACGGTTAGCGATGGGAAAAGCAAACCCGTGCCGATGCGTTTGCACTTGTCTATGGAGGTGTTGAAGCTTCAGCGGGAGGATCTCGAGGTAGAGTGCCTTTTGATAATCGTATTATCATCTATTTCCCGAATGAATGATGCTCAATAGTCTCTCGCTGACACGGTGCTTTATATCGATTACGGTCGCTGTGAAACGTGTCAAAGACGAGAATACATTTTAGCAGGCAGCGAATCACAATAAACCACCCCTGGACGCTAAGGAGCGCATGGTGCAAATCACCAGGCAGAAGGTCGGTGGTTTGGGGCTGAGCATAAAGGGCGGAGCGGAACATAAGCTTCCAGTACTCATATCGAGGATCTATAAGGGTCAGGCCGCCGATCAGTGCGGCCAGCTTTTTGTAGGAGATGCAATTATTAAAGGTATCATTGACACAAATCATTTTCACGTCGATACGCAGGTTGTTATCAAACTTATTATCAATGCGGGATGCATTTTACATTCTCTATTAATTTTACATTTTAAATTTTACATTCTCATTTTACGTTATTTTACATATTGTTTATCTTCTATGTATCACCTAAAGTATCCTTTTTTAATTCAGATAAAATATTTAATTTAAAAAAGCGAGAAATTTTGCATCGTTGTCGTATGTTTAGCTTTTACTTTCTGTATTTAATTCTGCTTAAACTATTTTAATACAAAATATTCGATATCTTTTATTAATACTTGTTTCTTGTTATTTGCGCCGATTGCAGTTACGCGACAGTTGACAGTTTCGCGATAGTTGAGCGGCACCATGTACAGTTAATGAGTATCGATTTCAACTCGCGCTTCTGCCAATACCCGCTCCTATCGAGACAAACGTTGACTTCGTTTTTATTCCACATAATATTTCAAGCAATCATTTATCACATATGATTCATTGTTCATTACGTAATTTATATTCTGTGGTTCTTTAGTGAATGGCGAGTATATCACGGCGTGCAACCATGATGACGCTGTCAATATTTTGAGAAACGCCGGTGATATAGTGGTTCTAACTGTCAAGCATTATCGAGCGGCCAAGCCATTTCTACAGAAAAATGGTACCGGAATATTATACATTATCGCAAAAAAATAGACGGATGGCAATGAGAATGTATTACGGCCCATACATTGATATTCTTGTCAACAGAAAAGGAAGAAAAACTGGATAACGTTGCCAATGGTACGGCGGAAGACGGATGGATATCGCCTAACAGGCAAGCGGGTAGTCCCAGATGCAGCCACAGCCGTCAAAGTTCTAATGCATCTTCCAGTTCGATGCAGTATAAAAGATGGGTGGACGTAATTACAGGTAGCTATGCGTCCACTCGAGTATAAATATTTAAAATGTAATACCCCTCGCATTTTTATATCCCACATTTATCATCATGTGTATCCGTATGAAACTTTAAGCTTTACTTGCTTTATATAGCCGCGATATTTTAACACAAATATTTTAAAAAATTGTCGCATAATCAATTTTTGAGAAGCTACAACAGTTCAGATACGGGATATGGAAATAGGAGCACTATTTGTGGTAGCATAATAATTAACGTGGCACTTTTCAGTTCCATTAATGATGGCGTACGTGACGAGATACATATTCGGCACCGACAAACTGAGGAGGAACGCGTTTGAAGTGAGAGGACTTAACGGAGCACGTACAGGAGTGATACATTGCGACGATAGCGCTATTCTTAGCCAATGGTTAAAATATATAACTGATAACATTACAGGATTGACGCATTTGCAGGTGATACAAATAATATATAACTGTAATATTGTTATGTCTCTGTATATGATATTCCGAGTTGTTTCAATAATTAATTATTTGACGATGAGCTTGAATTCAATTCCAGATGAAATTGTACAATCGTAATTTCGGAGTCGGCGAGCGCATAGAATACATGGGCTGGGTGAACGAGGCAGTGAGCAATAGTAATCAACCGTGGCAGAGTTACAGGCCGAGATTTTTGGCTCTAAAAGGACCGGACCTATTGTTGTTTGAAACACCCCCTGTATGTATCAATTCGTACGCTTTATTCTACATATTTTGAGCTTTTAAAATAGTTGATTTACTCCAAGTATCGCGAGGATTATGCTAAATTGTTTTTATTGTGACTTCCAGTGCAATATAGGCGACTGGTCTCGCTGCGCGTTGACTTTCAAAGTGTACCAAACGATGTTCCGCGTGATGCGCGAATCGGAGAATGTGGACGAGCGACAGCATTGCTTCCTGGCGCAGAGTCCGGGAAAACCACCGCGTTACTTGAGCGTCGAGACCAGGCAAGAACTTCTGCGGGTCGAGGCGGCGTGGCACACCGCCATATGTTCGGCTGTTACGCATTTAAAGGTATACACGCGGTCGTGTACCTTCGCATACTTACACATTGACGCGTATGCATTTCTGCAGAGCAGTTTTCGGCGTCGTCAATCTCCTCTCACGCCTTTCCTTTCTCGTTGCAGAGTAAAACCTTTCCGGTAACTTTCAACAGTAGAAGCGCCGGTCTAACGTTAGAGTGGACTCAAGGATTTACGTTGTCGTATGAAGGAATCGGGGAGATCGCGTGGCGCTACAAATTTTCTCAATTGAGAGGGTCCAGCGACGATGGTAAAAGTAGGCTTAAATTGCACTTCCAAGAGCCGGACAGCATCGCTATCGAAACGAAGGTAAACACAAATTCTTTGGCGAAACTGAAAGGTTCATTGCAACACAGTGGTCCAAATCGTTCTCTCTCTCTCAAGAGAAGATCGAGTATAATTTCTTGATTAGGAGATTGGCTGTCTCAGATTCCTGAAAAATATATTAAAGATCAGTGTTGCATTCAATCCTTCAACTTTTGCTCTTTTTCATACGCATAGAGGGATGTGTGTATTTACGTTTTGCGTACGTTTCGACAGGAATTGGAGTGTTCCCAGTTGCAAAACTTGTTGTTCTGTATGCATGCGTTTCTTACCGCGAAGGTAGCCGCGGTAGACCCTACGTTTTTAACGTCGACCACTCCGTAAAGAGATGTAATATAGATGTAATAACGTTATTGCCGACGAATCACCAAGTGGATCACATTTGTGTTCTGTTATCGTTGTACGGATTAGAACCGAGTACGTGCGCTGAAAAATTACTGGGAGAACCAAGAGAAGGACGAACGAGGTGGAAGCGACAGAAACTAGTCAATATATCCAAAAGGTATTTTTATCGTTTACATATAAAAATCACCAAGCGGTACTATATACTCTACTCATCCTACCAAAAGCCAATTTCATTAGTATATATATGAATCTAACGGCTATTATCGTATTGTACGCATCTAGATAAGAATTCTCGCGAGTTTCTAAGAGCGGCAGTATGCTTTTATGAATGATTGCCCGACTAACGATGCGATTATGTTACCTGCTTTTGCTACATGCATTTATTCCCTTTTGAATTTTTTGAGGAACACGTAATCTCAAGTTACACATTCGTATTATATGTAATTATATAATTTACTTCTTATATTTACTTTTTACAGATACATTTTAATTGTATTTCAGTAATATTGTTTGATATTGTATGTCTCTCGGTTGCGCTTTTGTAATATCGTTTGTCTGAAATCTTAAGATGATAATCAGAATTTATATACACATATATAGGAATCAACATATGCGGGTTCATG